ACTTAATAAGAATATCTATTCCAGAGCACTTTTTGATATCTGGGGGTGGCATTAGCAAAAATGGGGGTGGAAATAGTCATTCTCTTCGGTATATGGTGATTTACTAAGGCCTGACTCTAATTACTACAGTGAAGCGTTAGTAATTTTGGCATTATATAATCACTAACTTTGGCCTATAGTTATTACGCTTTTATTAAAGGGTTTATTAAATTCTATGTTCACTACGAACAAAATATACATGTACAGTTAATTCATACTCCGATTAGTAGATCTGGCTATTAATGCACTTTTAAAAATAAATGATACACGAAATTTAATTGTCATTACATATATTAGACTACAGTTTGTGTGTTGTGTTTGTTATTTTTTTTTTTACCTTTCTGCGTCACAAATTACAACTTTATTTCTTTTTTTTAAAACAATGAATGTTTTACATGATATTACTAATACAAACCCTAACGTTGAACTTAATAATAATATTGAACTTGAAAGTAGTCTTGACGCTAGTTGTAATACTAACTTTGGCAATAATTTTTGTGTCGATATTAATGATACTCAAGATCCTGACTTTGAAGACCACACTGATATAAATGATATTGACAACAATTTTCATGCCAATATTAATGATACTACTCAAGAAACATCTTTGAACAGTAATTATTTTGTGTTATCAATTGTAGTTGGTCAAACTTTTTCTGATTGGAATGATGTTAAGCAACATATTAATGCCTAACGAGGCTTCATCGTACAGACCGTAGTATGGGTTTTATAACTAGGGCTGAAATTGTTTGTAGACATGCTGGTATTGCAAACAGTAAAAGTACTGGACAACAAAAGACAAAAAGTGGTGCCATCATTGTCAATGTAAAATAGTAATTCATTAGAAAAAGACTGAATATTATATGAAATCCGCTGGGCTTGAACATAACTATCCTCTGGATACTGGTGTAGCTGTTTTTGATCCTGGTTACCGCAAATTAAGTAATAATGAGAATAGCCATATACGAATACTTTATGATAGTGGAATACCAGTGCCAACAATAATTCGAATGCTAAATGATGAATATGGTAGATATATTTACAAAAAAGACGTCTATAACTCTTTGAATTGTCAATCTCGTGATTGTGTTAAAGGATTATCACAAATAGCAGAACTTTTAAGTAATTTACATAATAAAAAAGACTATGTAATTACATATTCAATGAATAATAATAGACTTCATTGCCTGTTCTTTACTACTTATTCAGCGCTTGTAACATTCAAATATTATCCAGAAGTAGTATTAATAGACAGCACGTATAAGACTAATCGTTTTGGGATGCCACTTTTACTAATTAGTGGTATTGATGCGAAGGGCATCACATACCTTATCGCTAGCGGACTTCTTGCTGATGAAACTGTGTCAAGTTTTAGCAGGATAATCTGTCAATTAAAGCAAGCAGCTGGTGATTCAATAATTTATAAAATTAAAACAATTTTAACGGATAAGGATCTTGCTTTACTTTTTACAATTCGAACTGAATTGTTGCACATCAAGCATCAGATTTGTACTTGGCATATTGAACAGAACATTGTCAAAAATTTGACTAACAAGCTTAATGATAAATTCACTGCATTTAGTAAAGATTTTAAAACAGTGATAACAGAAGTTAATGAGGAACAATTTGAAGTCCTTTGGAATCGTCTACTAATTGAATATTCAGAGACACGTAATTATATGGAGCAATGGAAATCTATCACTTATATGTAGGCGTATTGCTATACAAATAAAAATATTAATTACGGCATAAGAACTACACAACGTTCAGAAGCCACAAATGCATATTTAAAACATCTGCTTGGCCATGTGGCACCTTTGCCCAAATTAATCCACATGTTAGAAAAATTGTTTCGTCATCAGATTCAAAGTTCTCAATATCAGCAGTATCGTATACATGGAAGTACTCGACAACAATGCCCTGATATATTAAAAAATGTCTCAATTATCATATCAGATTTCACTTATGAATTGTTACTTGAGCAATACAATGGAGCTAATGCTTACAACGTTGAAAAACAAGAAGCAAATTTATTTAAAGTCATTAAAGAAAATCGGACACATATTATATATAAAAATGAGATGAGTTTAACCTGTGATTGTGATTACAACATACAATATTCTTTACCATGTCGTCATATTATTGCTATTCACATTGCTTATAAAGATCCTGTAAATATCAATTATATTGGTGCTCGTTGGGCAGTTCCACTTATAAGCATGAATAATACAACACAAGTCGAAGAACAAATTGAAAATCAAATTGAAAATCAAATTGAAGATCAAATTGAAGACAATGTGTTCGTACAAATAGAAATAGTTCCTCAAATAATGTGTTGTCTTCTTCAAACTATCAAGCGTGTGAAATACCAGCTAATCAACAGTCAATAGTTAGAAGTACCACTGACTTGCTTAAAGAAATTGAGGCAATATCTAATAGAGTCGGTTATGTTGAAATCAACAGTAGTCTTGCTCTTTTTGTAGATCAATTAAATAATAAATATCCTTTATCACAAGACGATATCCAAGATCCTACCAACATCAAAACTAAAGGAAGACCAAAAGGTACAAGACGCAATAAAATAGGCGCAGAACACGCTACTAAAAGAGCATATATATGTGGCATTTGCGGCAGGTCTTAAACGACCATATTGAAATGCCGGCCATTCAAAAGTGTTATTCTTGATCTATATTATATTAGAAATTAATTGGCTGATATAGTAAACAATAAGATGTATAATACATTAATTTTAAT